ACACACACACACACACACACACACACACACACACACACACACACACACAGAGCAAACAGCACAGAACAGTGAGGGGCAAAGTGCTGCTGTGTGTGTGTTTTCCTGCCCTTGTTTTTAATGTCATTAGCTTGATTCAAGTGGAAGAACACTGAAGCGATTGACTTTCCTTCCTCCTGCTAGAAGAGAAAAGGGAAGTGTAGAACTTGGATATGATCTAAAAGCAGCAAAGATTAGACATGACTAAAACTGACATGAATGTTTTTTCTTTAATACCCTTCACCCATAGGACATAAACACAACCTCTGCTGGTGATGATGTTTGTTGATGCTGACAAGTTTAAGGGATACTTGTGCAACAAAATGCAGAAAACCAGGATAAAAACATCATCGAAATAAAAGCCAATAAAGAGAGTCTTTTTCTTTTGGCTTGACAGTGAGTACTGTCCAGAGGTAAACAGACGGCGTCCTGCTGTTAGTGCTGAGGCTGGGGGGACACAGAGCTGTGTTAGCAGACTCCAGGACAGCTGACGGCTCTGAGCCACGTTCTCAGGAAAGCTGCCCAAAAAGACGTCCAATTTACTATCAACACAGCACATCCTTAAAATGGATTCTGAACCGAAGCCATGCGAGTCTGCTGGGTAAAGTAACCGTGCTGTGTGCACGCAGCCATGGGGGACTCGTTGAATCTGCAAGTTTATGACCAGTTTTTAACGCCACGGGTTTTTGCTGGAGATGCAGGTTCTCAGAGTTAGGTGGAGAACTTTGCAAACCTAGACATTTATTTGATCATTTTTACACAATTCAGGTTTAAAGAGGAAGCAACGTCCGAGAGCCAATCTGCAGGAAAACAAGAACTAAGGTGCCTAAAAAAAGTTTATCCAAAAAATAAAGGCACTATAAGAAAATGCACTAACTTAAGTGATGTTAAATTTCTGTGATTGCATCCAAAAATGAAATACAGAATTTTTATTTCCCAGAATAATATATATTGTATATACAGTGTATATATATATATATATATATATATATGTAAAATTCTAATTCCAAAATAAAAATGGGCAATTATTTCTCTTCCCTCTAGTTTATTAATTCTAATGGTATCTTCCTGCTCACTGGCTGTATTTAGGGCTGGTCTCTTGGTACAAAAAAATTACGCTCTAGCAAATCACCACTGGGGTTTTTCAAGAACACTGATGCAATTTCTGGCACCTCTGAGCTCGCCACCACTTTCCTCTGCTGGTAATCTTTACCACCAGTCTCCTCTCATTTAAAGCCGGACTCCCAGAAGACAGAGGGATGGTGTGTTTGTGTTTAATAGTGAATGTTTGAAACACGCCTCATGTCGACCAGAAGGGTCGACATGAAACAAACATCTGATCAGGAACCAGATTCTCTGTGGAGAGCAAAGCTCACGAAGAAGGAAGAAAAAACACCATCTCTAGAAATATCAATCAATCCATACAACCAATTATCCATCCAACCAATTATCCATCCATCCATCCATCCATCCATCCATCCATCCATCCATCCATCCATCCATCCATCCATCCATTCATCCATCCATCCATTCATCCATCCATCCATTCATCCATTCATTTATCCATCCATCCATCCATCCATCCATTCATCCATCCATCCATATAGAAACTAGGGGTGTATGATCAGGAGATTATGACATCATACTTACTGGTCCAATATCATAACAGAATCGATAATATATGTACATGTTTGCCATTGCGGCGGTGAGTGTGCTTATTTATTGTTATCCTGTTTGGTCAAGCCGTTTCCCGTACTGCCCGACCCGCGCAATGTTCAAGTGGCGTCGGACAAAACAACTTTCCCACTTGAAAAATAATTAGAATACTTCGTGCGGAAAAACAACCAGTCATTTTAAGAATTATTAATATGATTTTACCAATTAACCCTGTATGTTATGCACAAACGTTATAATGATAAACATAAAAAGGTTGGAACTACTCCCAATCTGAGAACATGTAATGTCTGTTACCTCCTGAATGTAGCACACAATCCGTTTGCTAAAATGCTAATAATAACAAGCTGGCGTTCAAGAACTCATCAGGACTTAAATCATTGCTGAGTCTTTTGACAAATTCAATAAAATTGCCAGAGAGGATGCAGATCTCAAGCAGTTTATTGATGGAAATGATGGAGCTTGACAAGCAGCTGTTCACCCTCACTAAAGGCCGAAGCTTTAGGTCTTTTTTATAATTAACGTACCTTATTTTAAAAAATGGCCATTTGAGAAATTGTTTTGTTTGATATACTTTAAGAAATGTTTGCTTGCTAAGAGTTAATTTCAAATAGTATAATTTACAGAGTCATTTTTTGGTCTTGTTTATTTATGTTATGATCTTACCCATTTTTGACTAGTCTTATCTCCTGACATGTTATCGGTTATTGGCCATTAAAAGGAGAAAGTTATCGGTATCGGTTCTTAAAATAAGTTATCGCCCATCCCTAATAGAAACCAACAACTACTCACGCTCTCACCAACACCACGGGACAAATGAAAGTACATAAACTCCACACAAAAAGACTGGGAAGCAAACCTGTGACCCTCTCGCTCTGTGAGGCGACAGATCACCTCCTGCCATTTACTTGTTGAGACACAGAAATCTTAGTACAAGACCAGAGTACCTGCCGAAGGTTAAACTGAAGTGTTTGCGTGTTTTAGCTACCTGTTTGGTTTCTGGTTCCAGTGTCGGTGCCCACGCTGCCATTCTCCTGCTGGGCCGACAGGCTCTTCAGGATGACGTGGCAGGCCCCGAGACGAGGCAACGTGACGTGGGTCAGGTGGGGGAGAGAGTGTTTCTTGGCAAACAGCTGGCTAGTTTCTCGCCTCTTCCTCAGGAAGCCGCCCTCGGGGAAGAGCACTATCCACTTCCTGTCACGGCTGTGGTAGTATTTCTCTAGATGCTCTTTCAAGTAGATCAGCTGCTTATCTCTGTGAGCTTTACCCTGAAAATTAGGAGAAAAAATACATCCATCAGCAGATTATACAACATATAAACCTGGATTTTTCTGGGAGTTTCAGAAAAATATGTCCACAGGTTCATGAGATTAATCGCTACAGACAAACAAACGCACAAAGACACAGTGAAAAAAGTAACTGTTTGCTTTTGGCGTTTGGTGGTATCCTAGAAGAGGGTAGAAAAAATTCCTTTTGTTGCAGAGGCCACTGAGATTTTGAGCTTGTAATATGTACAAGTGTACAAAAAAAATTGTATTTGTAAAAACCTTAATAAAAGAACCAACACTCTCAAAATAATCTGTAAAAAAATATTTCACAAGCTCAGGCAATTAACTGAGCCCATGGTACAGAAAAACAAAAACAAAGGGATAAAAACAAAGCAAAGCCTTCGTTAGCTGCAGAGCCACTGTGGAGTATTTAGAGTTGCATTAATGGTTGGACTGAAGCAGATGCAAAACCCAATGGCCTCAACAACATTAGGAGCATTAGCAAGGATGGGATGAGGAGGAGCAATATTGATTTTTAGTTTAGGCACGATCAAAAGTCGTTTTAAATATATTAGCACAGCGGGGCTGGTCTCCGTGTTCTTAACTGATCATCAGAGGAACTGTATGCAAAACAACAGTTGGAGATAAAAATGACAACTAATTTGCCTCAAAGTGAAATATTACATCTGTCTGCCTTGCAGAGACAGATCAGGATGGAGAGGCTCCTTCTTAAAGCCAGACAGCTGCTATAAACATCTGCGAGCTAAGAAAGTGTACTCCTATTTAAAAACAAAACCAAAGTTCTGTCATGAATCCTGATACCTCCTGCAGAACGCATATTTTAAATAAAAAATAATCAAGGATCTGATGCAGCTAATTGGATGTGTTTTTCTTCAGTGTTAAATGTTCAAGCGGCTCGGCTTAATTTTGCCCCATCTCCTTCCTGCTTCGTTCAGTTCACTTGACTGACATTTTACTGAGCTGAAAGCAACACAGAACAGTCCTGCAGCCAAATCCTGCTCATTTTGTTCAAGCTGGGAAGGAGCTGGTTCTACTCAGCTGATAAGCACATTTGTTCTGTTGTTGAACAGTGGTCGACTGATTACCTTTGGGAACCACCTTGAATCTGATCAGTTGTAGATGTACAACAAATATAAACCCAATAATAACTCTGAGTTTCATTAAATCCCTCTTCTGGTTTGTGAAACTTTTGCTAATAAACATCTTGCTCGATGAGCAGCTTATGTTGTGAATGACTCTCAACTACAACCATACAGAATTTCAGGTAAGAATCTCAAAAAACGATTTGAGTTAAATACATTTTTATGGCTTTTAGTACCAAAAAAAAAAGTATCACAGTAAACTGTCGGCCATCTTGAATCAACCTGACTCTACTGTAGCAGCGGCAGCGCTAATCAGAACAGGCATGAGTCTGGATTTACCATTACTGTACCTGTTAGCAAAACAGCAAACAACAAGGGCTGAGTATGTAACATTTGTAAAAACTATTACTAATAATATTAATGACAATATTTTTAGTGAGTGTGTATAAATGTCTCATTTTACAAGTAAGCAGATTTAATATTATTTACCTGAATGTGGATGTGATCTGACCAGAACTTAAGCTAATAATGTAACAGTTTAAAATTAAAATAAACTTATGACACCGATGTAATCACTGGTATTTATTGAACTGGTTAGCAGGTATTAGCTTCTGTAGCATATATTGCTATACAAAGTGTAGTATTCTGCTTAGTCATGCTAGCTGAAATTATTAAACATTACATGCCTACCTCTGATATATGTAAATAATTACAAAGTGTAATTTAATATTATATATTTAACTATTTTTAGGTTTCTGTGACCTGTTGAGAAGATTGGTTGGCTAATATCACCTGGAATTTAATTCTATGTGTTGACTGGTAAACATTATTTATTTATTATTATTTGTATGACAGGTATGAAGTAATAAATATACTTTAATATGATTTGAAGTCATAATTCTTTAAGTAGCTAAAAAGTTATTGACTGACTTCAGGTCTGATTTAGATCATTATTTACATATTTCCTCAAACATTATCTGCTGTTTTACATGACTAATGAATGAATTATTGTAAAAATATTAATTAAAAATGTGACAGATCCAGCTAGGCTTGCTGTTGATTTAATATTTGCTTCGTCTGCTCAGTCTAGTGTTATTTAAGCTACACATTCAATGATTCATTTTTGGGAGTTTTGTTAAAATTCATCCAGGGTTTATGAGTTTTATTTTTGTTAAAAACAGTCAGTCTCAGGCAAAAACTTTACCATAAGTGACAAAATGTAGCAGAATTTAAACAGAATGCTCAAACTGCATTTTATCTAAACTCCTAAATGATACCCTCTAAAAAAGGTATAACTCAAGTGATTTCTTTTTGCTAGATTCCATTAGCATGTAAGCTGCAGCCGACAAACTGGCAGCATGTAATTATAAATCGGCTGCTTCTTGTGGCGGCTCTAGCTCCTAGCTGAAGTGTTAATTATTGTAAACATTCAAAGGATTTATGACATGATAGACCATGAATTTGCCTGAATGTAAACCTACACAACATGCACGGCCACATTTATAAACAGGCGTTAGGACGTACATATTTATGAGCTGTAGCCCTGGAAGAAGCACGTCAGCATTTTCTTTGGCTTTTTCTTATATTAGCCGGAAGCTATTTTGTTATTTTAATATTGTTATTTTAACATTAGGGATGTTAAAACCTAAAATACAAGGCATTTTGTGCAAAGCTACACCCCTGCGTTGCAGCTCATGAATTTCTAACAGCGGTAATGAGACACTTTTGTTGTTGTGGAAAACTCCACATTTAAATATTGTTTCCTTAGAGAGATTTATTGAGTTTCCTTCTATGTAAATTGATTGCTACAGGAGTGTAGTTTAGTTCCTAACAGGTCGGCTGGAACTTAAATGTTACTTCTGGTGTCTGTGCAATATAATGCATTAAGTGAATGTGTTCAAAATAGGATTTTGTGGGTACACCATGTTCAAGTTTGCTCAGAAATAAAAGTAAGAGAAGCTGAGTTCCAGCCATGAAAACGAGTGCAGAACAACGTTGGACATGAGTGGACAGCAGATGCTTCGGGTGACCGGGGCAGCTGCTTGCTGTGTGGAAGTGTGTGAAGTATTCTGGGGAAGGATGTCAAGAATGCACACATAAGAGTGCCAGAGGGGGTGACAGAAAGAGAGGGAGGGAGACAGAAATGACCGCTCAGACTTTCCGCTCCAACCCGTCTGGCTGTCAGCAGACACGGGAGGCTGATGTGAAATTCCACAGCAAAGCGTTGCCATGACCTAAAAAAAAAAGTAATTCCCTCCTGCCGCGCTGTTTCCGCAGCTGAAACGTGCGAGGTGAGCTGAAGGGCTTTTTTTCATTCATTTTCTGATGACACAACCGTAGACGAGCATATTCTGCAATCAGGCTCGACCCGCCGTGAGACTTCACCGCTTAGAGAAACAGCCGGGTGGTAAACCAAATGTTTATATAGAGCTGAGCTGCACGATATATTGTTTCAGCATCACCATCACAATGTACGTGTTCTCAATGGTCACATTGCAGGTTCCTGTGATGAAGAAGGTAAATTAAATCCACTTTATCAAAGGGCTAAACCTCTAAACGTTGGTGTGTTACAGGTTTTATTTTCACGGATTGCTTCCGTCGCCAGAAGAGCCTGGCTTTGTGTCAAAATCACTAAAACTTTCATTTTGTTTTGAAACTTGTGCGACAATAATGGCATCGTTATTTCAAAGTGTTTTCGGTGAATTCTCCAGCTGTGGAGGAAAGCGACGAGGAGCTTGCTGAAAATGAGGAAGATGAGCGAATGTGCAAAGAATTGGACGGAAAGAGGGTTAGCATGAATGCTAATATTAAAGCGCTACAGAAACAGAAACTAAGATAGACACTGAGGCAACAAGTTAGGTGATAAAACACATTTAATGTTTGCACATGATAGAAGGACAATAAAGGCAAACAATAAATATACAGACAAAAACTAACTTGTAACTAGGCCTGTCACGATAACAAATTTTGCTGGGCGATTAATTGTCTCAGAAATTATCGCAATAAAGGATAATATATTGTCTGGTGACCATTTCAAAACTAATGATAAAAGCGTAATAATTTAAGTACATCCTCTCAACGGTCAATAAACTTTAATTTTTAAAGAATGTTTAACAAAATGTCTCAGTCTAACAAAAAAATGCACTTGAATAAAAAAAAACCAAAAGAACAACAAAATGAAAATTAAACACCACCTACAAGTGAAACAGTAAATAAACAATATTAAAGAGCAGCATCTCTTTAGAGATGAAGCAAACTACACACCCTGGTGAGGACCCACTGTTTCTTATGAGGACATAAACAGGGTGGCACATAAGCGGTAGTGGTGCACATGTGCAATCAAAAAAAAAAACGCACCAGATGGAACGCCATAAAGCTCACTTGCGTACCTAAGATTGTACCTGAGATTGTCTGTCAAAACAACAGCCTGCAGGGCTCTAGAGTGTGACCAGTTTGGCCGCAAATGCAACCTGATTTCTAAAAAAAAAAAAAAAATCCAGACATACTGGTGTGACTGGAGGAGGGGAGGGGTCAGCTGAGCCCCCTGTGCAGCAGAGCACAGAGAGGGAGAGAGAGATGAAGTAAACGAACAAGCGGGCAAATGAAAATTATCGTCCTCATTTTTTTTATCGACCTCAAAATAATTTATCATGCATTGACTATTGTGACAGGCCTACTTGTAACACGCACAAAAACAGGATGGCAGCAGTGTTAGTTAAGCCATTTGTTGAAAAGTCCTGTATTTTTAAATTGCAGTTAGAAAACATTGCAGTGTCTGTTTTTTCCAACATCATGCAGACTTAGTTCACACCTAGGTAGGGTTGGGCATAATCGTAACGTGTCCAATTAATCGTCAGAAAAACATCAATCGATTACTTTTTGGCGCTTGACGATTAA